TTAAGAGAACATGCCTTATCTAGATCTCTTAATTAAGCGATGTTCAATTTAAGGAATATTGGAGCTTCAGGGTAAGCTCCGCCCCATCGGAACTCTTCGGATGTCGCCCTCCAGACCCTGTCGATTCCTTACTCTCAAGCTCCTTATCGCCGAAGCTCTCTGCTTTTCTATCTTCTGGACCACTATCGCTTGGCCCTTGAAAATCTTCCCGCTCAGGATCCCTATCGCCGGATCCTCCAGGAGCAATGGCTAGAGAGGCTTCTCTGCCTTCTAGGCTACAGGCCTTCTCCTCCCAACTCCCAGACTCCCTGGAAGTCTTTTCGCCAACTGGATACTGTCCTTTGTGGCATTGACCTCCATCCTGGCCAATATCAGAACCCTTTGTACTTGAGGTAGCCGTAACCCGGCCCTCTGCACAGACTGGAGTTGACTACCTTGGCTCGCGCTGGCCCCGTCTTCCTCCTTACACTTTTCAGGATCCTCAACCGTCTTTTTTACGTATCTTTCTGGATCCCTAAATCTTGAACCTGGTGCTGGAGCCCTAAAGCTTGACCCCGTCAAAACCGAAACATTTAAAGCAGGAGTGGCTCCCCCTTGAACTGCGTTCGATCCTGCCAGCCCCACTAGCCCTTGCGCAACTGTAGGGCGTACGCGATCGTCTTGAACCCCAAGACCCATTCTCCAAGGAACATACCCAACTCCGAAGATTGTAGCCCCAACCTTCGTCTGGGGCAAGCCGGTGCTTGCATATGTCGCCCATGAGATTGGTGTGCCAGAGTTAAACTCGGTGAGCACCTTTGGTACAATAACCTCCGTCTCTAAACCCGGAGTTTCCTTGCCCTCCACTGGAGGATCTAAAGAGACGGGTCTCGACACCCCAGTGGGAGTCTCACCATCCCTGGAAGATGCTGTCACTCTGGCATCCTCCTCCATAACACTAGAGAATGCCTTAACTCTGGCAAACTCTTGTTGGCCACTAAGCAACACCATTCTCATCTGAGGTCCTAACGCAAGACCTCGCTGTATCCGCGGATGGCCGAAGACCCAGCTCGGTCCCGGATGCCTCGCTATCCTGTTCCAACCCTGAGTACCCATGATCCTCAAGAGCATTAATGCTGTGCTCTTTACCATCTGTGGCCTCCTCCTTACACAGTAAGGAAGGTGGGAACTCCTGGACCGTAACGCTGGCCCTGCCAACCGCCCTAAAAAGGGTAGATGGCCTTTGGTACACCCACTTACACCTTGCTTGGGTATCTGCTGCAGAAGCAGTATCCCCCGTACTCCAAGGTAACATCCAGACCTCGACGTCTACACCGGTTGCCAGGCGTTGACTTGGCGTCATGCCAGGAGGTGGATTGAAAACCTCTCCGGTTGCTGCGGCAGCTGGTTGAGCTAAGTTGGCTGTGATTCCTTGGCCATCGAGGTCTCTTAGAGCCTGGGCAAAAGCCCTGACTCTAGAAAGCTCCCTCCATTGGCGCACTGCCGGCTGAAGAATATCCTGTGGGTGACCCAGACCAAACCTCCACGGCAGGAGTCCCACGCTGTATACGGGACCCAGCACCTGCGTCTGTGGGGTCTGCGCCCAAAAACAGGTTCCACTAACAGGACCTTGTATGTCCTTCTGTAGAGTCCTAACGCTGGACTCTTTGTCCACCGGCTCTACAGGGGATACATGCCACTGCTCGGTGGCATCTTCTTTTTCCTCCTTGCAAAGCACGGATGGATCCAAAGTAACCCTGGAGGAAGTCCTAACGCCTGGCTCCTCACTAGATTCCAAAACACCTGAGGACGTCCTAAAGCCTGACTCCTCAACAAAAGCAGAAACACCCGAGGAAGTCCTAAAGCCTGACTCCTCTTTAGAACCCCTCACTGGGTTGTATGGTAATCCCGTAGTATCCGGCGACTTCGCACCCTGATACACAGGGATTCCTGAGGAAGTCTTAACGCTTGACTCCTCATTTGATAGACCCGCTTGGGGACTCTGTAACCCCTTGGCTAGAGCCGACACACCAGGCTCGCCGGAGTTCTTTCGCAATAGGGACTCAACCTCCCCTGTACCTCCACTGGGTACTCCCTTGGAGGACACCAAAAGCAAAGTATTGTTTGGGGAATCGGTTTCCCCTTTACCGCCACAGGGTACTCCCTTGAAGGAATCCAAAAACAGAATATTGTCTGGGGAATCGGTTTCCCCTTTACCTCCACAGGGTACTCCCTTGGAGGTAATCTGATCTAAGGCCTCGGCCGCCTTGATCAACTAGATTGGCCTTGCAGCCTGACCCCTCAACCTGGATCGAAGCAGAGGCATCACTCACCTGTCACTTTGGCACTTAGGCCTGAGGCTGGCTGGGAGGTCTGGGAACCTGACCCCTCAACCTTCATCTGTCCTACACCCCTCTTGGGTGGGACGTGGTCAACTGGTGGTGCGATATTGAGACTTGGGGCTACACAAGTCAAGCTACCCAATCCCTCGCGCTCCACCGGTGAAACAGTTGACGAAAAACTGTTGGGAGGAGAATTCAAGTGATTTCCTGCTGTAATCCTCACGTCCTCCAACGACGGAGCCGTGGGATGCTCTGGATGGGGGGCCCTAGCAGATTCTTCGGAGCGGCCCTGCTCCTTCAGACTAGGAACATCATGCATCTCCAAGGACTGAAAGGAGCACATCTTGTTTCTTCCTTTCTTTTCCACCCTTGGAGGAAATTCTGAAACCGAGATGGAGTTCAAAGCCACCCCGGAGTCCCTGGATTCTAAAGTACATGCTCCAGAGCGTTGGAGCTCGTCTGCGCATCCTCCGAAGATGCTAGAAAATTTGGAGATACACGAAAAGCACAAATGCTCGGTATCTCGGCTGCAGAACAAGATTGACCCAGGAAGAGCGTGTCCCCCGTAACTCGGTGGGGTATCACGCCCTTCGGGTACCAAACCAAACCTTTCAAATTTCTTTCTTTTCCAAAACCTTTCACCAAACCTTCCTCTCCAACTCCAAAAGTACCAGGCTCAGAAGAGCATGCCTCATTGGACCCTGCTCTCTGACTCTTGCCTGCCCAAGTACCACCCCCTAACGCCGGGGTCCCGTCAGCCATGGCGTTTATAATCCTTCAACCTCAAATCCAAAACAAAACAACCTCAAAGAAATCCCTGGGCAGTAACCAATCTGAACTCGGGAGCGCACGCAGTGTCAACGAGAACTTGGGCTCGTGACCTATTGGATTGGCACCGCCAGGGAGTACTAAACCCACACACCAAACACAGTAGACGCTCAGTAAAAGGCACAGCTACGGCACCTACTCTTTTTACTCTTGAGCTATAAAAACGCCTGCAGGTACAGACATGGTTAACATGCTGTCCTCAACTATACAACTAGGTTGGGGGTTTTCCACAGCGGGTATTGAACTTCGTGAACCCACGGGGCTTTCGCCCGCTTGCGTCCGATCGGTTCTCGCCGAACTGCTTCAGGCCACCCAGCAACATTTATTGGAACCGGCCATCCTGTGTCAGCAAGAAATGCAAAAAAAGATTCCCGGACCCACTCGTGTGAGCAAAACTGATCGAAAACATGCTTGGCAAAGGGAGGGCCAAGCACGAAAACGCTCCAGCTGGGCGCGGTTTAGGGTTAAGGGTCGATGGCGTGGGTTTTGGGACTTGGGGTTCATGGCGTGGGGTTCAGGGTTGATGGTGTAGGGTCTGGGGTTTGGGCTTTATGGCGAGGGGTTTAGGGTTTTGGGGTTCCTGGTGTGGGGTTGAGGGTTTTCGGGCTTATGGTGTGGGGTTTAGGGTTTTGAAGTTCCTGGTGTGGTGTTTAGGATTTTGGGATTTATGGTGCGGAGGTTAGGGTTTCGGGGTTCCCGGTGTGGGGTCTAGGGTTTTGGGGCTTATGGTGTGATTTTCGGGTGTAGGGTTGATGGTGTGGGGTTTGGGGTTTAGGGTGGGGTTTGGGGTTTAGGTTTCATGACGTGAGTGAGGTTTAGGGTTTTGGGGTTCCTGGTGTGGTGGGTGCCAGGGCTTTTGGGGTTTTTGGTGAGCGGCTTAGGGTTTTTGAGTTGATGGTGTTGGGTGGTTGTTTAAAAGTTTTGTTTTGTGGGGTGGGTTGGGGGGGCTCAGTTGGGGCTTGTAGCGCAAACATCCATGTAAGTGCTCCTGTTACTTACATGGGATGCTTCTCCTCACCTTCTTGTGGTGTGCAGCTTGTTGCAACAAACTCTTGCATGGTTTTATTCACCTGAATTGCTTGAGCTTACGGCCTGGAAGTTCTCGGATAGTTGTCTTTCTCTTTGCGATTCATAATAACCCTAAGCGGATCCAAGTGGTCCAAGAGCAAATTGAAATCGATCATCCACCGGGCCTCCGTGGAGGATAGGGGCAAGCTTAGCAGCCCTAAACCCTAAGCCCTAAACCAAGATTGCAGCTAAGGCCGTGGCCTCGATGATCATATTCTGCGCTCCAAAGGTCGCCTCGGTGGCAATTTACTGTTTTATTGCTTAGGAAGACTCCCCCCCCCCACCTTGCAATAGTGACTATAAGGGATAATCGTGATGATCTTGGCGTCCTCTTTTATTCCTAATATACCACTATTACAGGGTAGGGAGTCCTCCTAACTTGTTGGGTTGCTATTTAGGGACTTACTTTGGCTTACTCTACCGGGAAACCATGTTAATGACTTAGATGCTCCCACTATGGTAACTTTAGTTGAATTCCTTAACAGCAACCCAGTTTCGGGTTTAGGCTTCGGGGAAGACAGACTTTGCAAGATTCAAGGCTAAGAGGAAAAGAGTTCGGCAGGGCCGACTGCATGGAGCAGATTTTGCCTTTGTGCCCTGCGCTTAGGTACTTTCTCACGAGCACATGTGGTTTTGAATCCTCTTTGCAGTACGTAGGGGGCATTTTGAGGGGGCACGTGCAGAGTCAGGCAGGTCCAGGTATACGGACCAGACGTTTGGAAGGTGAACCCCACACCCTAAACCCTAAATCTTAACCCTTAAACCCTAAACCCTTAAACCCTAAACCCTAAACTCTCCAGATCCAAAGCAAAGAAAAGGCATCCTTTGGGTCGCTGGCATGGAAAGTTCGCTGATCTGGCACCAGGCGCGAGGATGCGTTTCACGCCAAACTTTGCGCCACCCAAACCTTCCCATCAACCCTATAGCCGCAGTCCTGAAGAGTCTTTTGGGCACCCTGCAGTGCCATACATACCCCAGAACCCTCCAAGCCCCAAACCTCGCCTAGACCAACCAAATACGCATAGCAAAGCCAATGCATGCATCTTTTGTCGCTTCAACTCTGGAATTAAAGATGTCCAAGGGGTCTATACGCATGCCTACCCCAAGGCGTCCATGTAGCTATAATCTCAATATGTACTTGGGCTTTGAAGTAGTTACACATAGCAGGGTTTGGGCCCCAGGTAAATGCCATGTACTGTACTGGAGCCTTTGAATTCTGTAGGAACTCTACACACCCAAAGGCCGGCTCCACCGGGGGGATCGAAGCTGGCACCCGCTGGCTGCATGGCAACGTGGATCTCTTGAACTGGCCGAAGGTCCCTTGGCCTGGCAAGCTAAGGATGTAACCCAGACCGCTGATTAATAAACCCCCTCCCCTCAATCGGGATTATAATGGGGATTCCAATGTTAAGGGTTATTATAAGGTAAGTAATTACGAGGAAAAGCTTTAGACAAAAAACTTTACGGCAAAACGAATTTGGCGGCTTATTCACAATAGGAACGAGGCTTAGGGGTTTGGGCGATTAAGGGTGCCTCTAGACCTCCCCAAATGCCGAGTCAGACCGCCCAACAGCACCGAATATCAGAAAAAATACGCAAAAGAGCACTGATCATATTTGGGTGTGCATATTCTACATCAAGAAGCGAGGGGTTTTTAGGCTATGCTTCAGACTACGGCAGCGGTTTATATCGATGGCGGAGCCTTCAGAGAGAAGAAGGCATTATCCAAGGAAAAGTTGCCTAAAGGGGGTTCTGATTGCTAATCCCCCCCAATAAGTACAGGGAATTAATTGTCCGTGGACCCTCAACCAAATTTTGGGAAACTTGTTGTGGGGGAGGTCTCGGGCTCTGTCATGTAACTTTCCATTGCCGGGGATCAATTCCGGTTTCGAATTTGGCCAAAAGTTCACTCTATGACGTACCCATTGCGTTAATCCGTTCAGCCAAAAGCTCGCTCTAGTAAGAACCCATCTACTCATCCAAAGCTAATATTAAACCCTATTCTGACTGGTTCTTTGTAGGGCAGATGGAATAAATCAATCCTTAGACAATGCCTCTTATAATATATTCCCGTACCCCCTACTCAGGTCCAGTAAGTAATTTGAGGATCGGGGGTCCGGGCAAGTCTTGGTCCCACCCGCTAGCAGCCGACAATGGCAATCGTGACACGGTGGAGGGTTTGCTTTTTTGGGGCCCCGCACTGCTAGGGTTTAGGGTTTAGGGATTTCAGGACATCCAGGTGATATTGGGGTTTGTGGGTAAGGGGAAAGTCCTTGGATTTGTGTTGTTGTTGTTGTTGTTGTTGTGGCAATCAGTGATTAGGATCGGCGGAATGATCGCCACAAAGTGGTAGATCTCAAGAAAGAAGCAGATGTTTCGAATGGAAGGAGAGGGTCTCTAAGAATGGCCCTTGAAGTGAGAGGACCTGGGATCATGCTTGCTTTTCAGGCGCCTGAATATCTTGTAGTAAAAGGGTGTTGGATATATTCTACTATAGATATGTTATCAAGGGATGTTTTGTCTAAATATGCAGTTTTACATTAGCCACGGTATTGGACATGCCCATTAACAGCCAAGGAGACTCCGCCTGAGTACAGAGAGGCACCCTATGGGGACATGCGCCAGGCCCCTGCTTTTCTCTTTAATGCTTGCCGGGCTGTTTTGGAAACCCCAAACCTCTAGACAAGGACCCCATAAGTCTCATATGACAGTCACAGGGTCCTTGATGGTTCTTCATGTTGGGTGTTGGCTTTACCAAGAACCTCGAATAGCTTTTGCTGCGGAATAAGAAGCTGTGGGCAGATTTGGGGTATAGAGGGAGGCAGGGTCTGGCTTGGTTTTTGCTTGGGGCATTCTGTGTGATGCGAAGTGCTTGCAATTCACCTCACGTATAGGGTGCAAAATGTAGCGGAGACAGGATAAAGAGAGCATGCCTTGGCGCAAGCAGGTCTTATAGGTAAGAGTCCCAGACATGGGCCATAATGCTGTCAGCTTCTGTGAAACATCCTGTTTTTATGTTATCAAGATTGTGTCTGCGACCTTTCGAGAGACGTTAAAAGACGTTGATTCTTAAGGCTATGCCAGCAAGAAGCGCATCGATGTCAGCAACTTATCAGTATCGCTGCTTTACAACGTTTCTCTGCAGCTCCCAGCGGCTGCCTGCCCCCTAACAAGCAACCCTCTCTTCTGGAGTTGTCCTTTACCCTGTTTATGCTGCCTGTCAGATCTATGGAACTTGTAGGAAAAAGGATGACGCTGGCTTTGGTGGGTGGTTTTAGACCACAAACGCCAGGAGCTGGTGTTCATCGGGAGGAATTTCAACAAGGAAGCTCTTAAGAGACGGTTGGAGCAAGCCTTGGTGACTGGCCCCGAGTTGCTGGTCTTCAATTAGGGGACCTGGGGCTGTACCCAATGGCGCCTTTGTAGTTCCTCTTTGGGCTTGTGGATTTATACTATACTATTATACTACCCCAAAAAAACTACATAGGAGCTTCTGGGTAACCCCTCGTATTTGCAACTGGAGTTTTGGGGGCACAAGCGCTGAAATCTTCTTGGAGGAGTGGGCTTACGAAGCCTTTCACAGTGAGCTTCAGCAGTTACATCAACTTTTTTCAGTACGTTCAACAAAGTAGTCACGTACCAGCAAATGTCTCATTCGGCAGCAACCGGTTTCTGAGCCTACCTTAAGCATCGGGCAGTCGGGCTACTTCCAGGCGGCATTCATCGAAAGCCTGTTACCCTGAGCCCTAGACCTTTTCGGTGCGGATACGGATTTGACAGGACTTTAGGTGTGGGTACAGGCATTGAGGTGGGGGGGTATTTTTGGGAACATATGGGGTAAAGCAGGGAGCATATAGTTGGTATGACATGGATGTTTTCTACATTAAAGCCCCAGTAAGGCTGACTTCGCATTACCTTGCCTATAAGACTGTACATGTGCCGTCGATATTTGAAAACCACGTCATTGGGGCGTGTCGAGAAGTAGGGTGAAGCAATGACAATGTTTCGGATTTCACTAGCCCTTGTAGACCAGCAATTCCATCGCAACTCATCTGGAGACAGCACGCCTGTTTTAACTCTGCACAGATGCTTGGAAGCCCTAGGTCTAAATTCTGCGGGACTCAGGTTTCAGCTGGGTCCAGACTCCTGGAGCCAGTGGCCCAATCCCTTCCGCGAGCGCGTATTTGGCCACAACGACCAGCATGCCCATGAAAGGCGCGAGTCGTGCCCGACCAAATAGCAGATATCCCAGATATTCAGGATTCAGGTTTTGGCCTTGTTGATGCTTAGGAATCCTGTGGGTTCTGGATGCTTGGGCAAGGACCAAGTATGGTCCCTGGTATGTACAGGGGCCCGAATAAAGGGAAGAAGAATGTGAGGGCTTCGTCCACGGCTTCGTGGAAGCGGCGCCCTGCATCGACCAGAGGACGGGTCTTGGGTAAGACAGCAAGGGCCCTGCGGAAGCGCAAGAGAGGCGGTTCCTAGGAATTCGCTGGCTTGGCAGCAACTGTCTGAGTCGATTTTATGTTTTTTGCCTTGGCTTCAGACCCTTTGTGCAATTTCTTGTCGAGCCGAGGGAGGGGTGAGTTTCATGCATTTGACGCAACACCAGTTGCTGTCTCTGCATTGATTGGCAGAAAGGCCAAATTCGTGCAAGTAGGAGCCACCAATGCACCTAAACAGCAACGAATTTCTGGATCATTTCTGAAGACAGATTTTCATCATGTAATTGTTCCAAAACTTTGCGCTATGTAACTTATGACGTGCACGACCACCTGGTACGATAGCTGTGAAATATATGTGGAGTCCCCATTCAAGGACTACGCGACTACCCCTATCGGGGTCTCTATTGGACTCTCTTATTCATGGTGTTCAACCTCTTTTGGCTTGCTTACGCGAAGGATGGGGGGTACCCACCAAATCATGTACTTCCCTAAAGCAGAACTACCAAGTGGGCTTTCATAAGCAGGCACTTGCGCAGTGATGCTCGGGTTTGGGTGAATTGCGGTTTCTGTGCAAATCTGGTTTCCGCAGCGTAGCGAGAACCGGATTGTGAACTCCGAAAAGTGCTTCCTTCCGAAAAGGGGACAAAAAGAAAGGTTGCAGTTCAATCTGGCGAAGCCGTGGCTGGCTACATTACATAAGTGCCCAGGTTTTGTTGATGAGAAAATCTCACAGTTAACTGTATCCCCCTCTTTTCTGATAAGCTTCCTGACATTACAGACTCCTAGACACCTTGTGTAGCGAACACCAGGCCCTGTTAGACTTTAAGAGTGTGAAAGCGCAAACAAACGTCACATTGCATTCGCTCCACGGGGCATCAAAATTTGTGCCTAACCCCAAGTTTCCCAAGTTTCCAGGCTTCCCTAGCTGGAGCATCTTCCCTTCCCTAAGAGGCCATGTCAAGCTTGTTTTCGGGTTATTTCCAAACGAAGATCTTTGCATTGCTACTGGACCACCGCATGATGCCTACTAATGGTAGCTAGGCTTTCATAGCACTGTAATAAGATGGACAGGGTTTAAACTAGGCAATTATGCAGGGAGGTATGACGCGATGCTGCAGTTTGTACGCGGTCTCGCTGCAGCATGTAGATAGGTGCAATACGGGGCCTTTTCGTGGGCGCTTTTTATATGGAGTATTCTCACAGCATGGACCCTCAGAACAGAGAGTATGTTCAAGTACAAGAATTTCCTCTCACAATATACTGTCGGACCCAAGCAATCAATAGAAAATTCCAATATCAGGGCCCTAGATTGCTTGTTTCACTAGTACAAGGTGCCTCAAACAAAACCTCAAAGGGATACAGAGGTTTCCCAAAATTAGGGGTACCTTTTACGGGCTCCCAAAAAGAAGGACTATAGTATATTGGAGTCTGAATTGGGGTCCTCTTATTGTGTGAAGCTACCATGGTGATGACTGTCTAGGCCTCTACATGATCCCTCCTCCGGGGAGACCCCCCGGCCCTTAGCTCTCAAACTGTGAAGGTTTAGGCTTTAGGGTTTAGGCTTTCCCAGAAAGTCCATGTATCCAATAATTAGGTACTTGGGATTTGGGTAATAGCAAATATAGGGCAGATTGTAGGTAACTATATGATTATTAGGTACTGGGACCCTTAGGGTTTAGGCTTTAGGGTTTCGGGGGGAAAGCCTGGCAGCCCTTGCCAAAGTGTAAAACCCCCTGACCCCCGTTGCTGCCACTATCATGATTACTTTTGCTATGACTCTGCTTTATATTACAGCCTGAACCTGGAAGCCTCGAGCATACAACTTTTTCAGCCGTAGCTGCCAAACCCACACCCAGCCCAAGCCCGCATCTCAATCGATGGTCAGATGGCACCGCCGCTGGGTATCACTGTGATGGATACCTCAAACTCAGCCGCCTCAAGAAATTGGAGTTCCCTGAATTCAGTGTCCCTTCAGCGCAACCAAAGAAGAGAACCTTGCATTAGGGACCCCCCCAGCAGCGACCCCAAATTTGCCAGGGATCCAAGTTAAGTATACAAAAGATACCTACATTGGGTCCTAACAGTTTGTAAATAGTACCTGCACTGGGCGGCTCGTTTCCCTAGGGAACTTTTTGCACCCAAACCTGGACCAATACTTCCGGAAACCCTGAAGCGGGGGTACTCTGAAGGACCCTGCTGCTCTTCTGAGGGACTATGTACCCGCACCCCAAAAAGTAGCTTAAACAATAGCGCCCAAAATTCCTAAAACTGGCCAAAAAAACACTATGTTACATACTTTTGGGTGTTCGGGTATTCTGTTCCACAGTGCTGCTCATGGGTCCTCAGCTGCGCCAGGTTGGTAAGGCGGAAGAAGGTTCCCAAGGCGGAAGACGACAAGGCAACCTCTTTCCAAATGCCCAATTCCAGGGAGTCATCATAGAGGAGTATATAACCCCCATGTATTTAGGGTTTCAGGTCTAGGGTCTCAGTGGGTTCTGTAGGCGATTATATAACCTCTTTTATGCGGGGTTTAGCATTTAAGGTTTGTGGTGGCTGCTTCCACCATGATGAGGCATGATAATGGTAAGCCTTGTTGCTCCCACACCTAAAGTGAACAAGTGAGCTGTGCTGAGTAGACTGGGTTGCTGTCAAGGAACTTGAAGTGTAATGGGTATATATATATATAGTCTTCAGTATGGTTCCCCCATTGTAATAGCTGAAATTAAGTTCCTTAACTGCAACCCGGTAGAGACAGGAGTTGTCGCTTCAGGGTTTGTTTGCTTATCCATACCGTTCTCCTAGTCATTTTGTTTAACTATGTCCGCATACATCTCTTCGTGGGATCAGGGCCAGATGTAAATTGAGGTCTATAGGCAACATCAGTTCGGAATGCCGGTGTGAGAGGTGCTTCAAGTCGGGTTCGTTAAGCCTTAAAGCCTTACAATGCTAAACCGTATAACCCAACACATTATAACCTTAGACTCTAATGCCCTTCCACCCCGTGAACCCTAACTTAGCCCCAAACCCTAAGCTTGGAGGTGCTGCCTTGCTGTAGAGTTGCAGGGATGAAGTGTAGGGTTCAAAGTTTTACTTGTTGGGTGTTTGGGGAGGGGGCGGGTTATCGCTTCAGGGGTTTGAGTTTGCAGTTCAGGGGTGTAGGTGTGAGGCTTTCGTTAGCTTAGGGTGTTGGGCTTCAGTTGAATCCTACAGCACATTACATACTTGATGCCTAAGCTTGTCTCGGCAGCGGCTCTTCTGTCAGGTGTAGTATAGGGTTTAGGATTTATAGGGGGTTGGCTACCCCAGACAGTTTAGCATAAGGGTCCTTGTAGCCAGATTGTTATGAATGCTAGCCATTACAAAGTGAGGATGTGCTGTAGTTTAAAGCCCTGAAGGTCTTCAAGCCGCAGCGCCTGCTCAAGGCCCTTAATTCCCAAATGGGTGGTTGTCAAAATTATGGTCCCTTTTTTGAATCCCTATTATAATATGGCACCTAATATTCAGGGTACCCAGAAAGGGATCACAACTTTGACAACCACCCAAATGGCTACGGCAGCAACAAGAAAAGCCCAACGTAAACGAAGGCACAAACAGAGCCAAGCTGCTAAAGCATGCACAGACCCCCCAACAGAGCCAAACACCCTCCAGCCTAGGGTCTAGGGTTGAGGGTACCCCCAGGAACACATAGTATATTGGGGGGTATGTTGTGATAGTGGAAAATAAAATGGCAACTACTATAGCCTAATCAGTTTGAGGTCCAGGGCTTAGCACTTCCCTGTTGAAAGCACTTGACAACCCGAAGACCCTTGCATTTCAATAGCCATGCTCGCCAAAATCTTATGCGCTTGATGCAACTATCTTCATCATCGTCGTCAGCGTTGGCGTCGGCCTCGGGGTCGTCGTCGTCGTCGTCGCGTTCAAGTACGCACATGAGTTGAGAACTGAAACATGGGATACTCACCATAGTCTGGTGTGCTGCTTTTCCAGCCTCTTCTGCAGATCGGAGCTCCCAAGCACCTGCACTAAGGCCTTTTCCAGGGTCCCGAGAATCCAAGTTAGTCCTATTTGTAACGATGCGGCCTGTTGCCCAAACTCGACGACCCCCAACACTTAACCTTTAGTCCCACAAGCCCCAAGTTCCCCAAATCCTCAACCAAGCCACAGGCTGCAGAGCCAGCCCCTGTGGACCGCTTGCACGCCTTGGGTGACGCCGTAGCGCTTCAGGTGGCTGGCTGCAAAGCCCACTGTTGTTAGTTTAGGGTTGAAAGGTTAGGGTTGTTGCTTTGGGGTTTAGGGCCTGGGATCTATAGGTTCTGGGGGTCTACAGGTGCAGGGCTGAAGGTTGAGGCTCTAGGGGTTGGAGCATCGGGTTTTCTTGAAAGATGGTACGTCGTGGTCAACAGGTTTAGGCAGGGCTTTCGGTCGTTGAGTTAAGATGGGAACAAATGTTCTGCAGCTCCTTTACCTGCCCCAAAGTTGGTACGTTGACTCTGCAAAATCAGCGGGCCAAGCTACAAGTAGCAAATTGGACGCTGGTGCTCTGAGATGTGCAAGGTTTTCGCGCTACATGTGAGTGTCCGTTTCTGGCTGCTAATGTGAAGGATGAGGATGTTGACTATGGCCCCTTTACTAAAAACAAGTGAGGACTCCATTCAGTAAACAGTTCATGTTCACTTTGTAACATGGTAGTGTTCATCTCCCTCGAATGCTGCCAATGCAAGCCACTGGAAGCCCCAAGCCTAAGCCTCACGACATAGAACCTAGATGCTCGGCCATGTAGCTTGAAAGCGCTAACCCTAAGCCTCAACATGTGGTGGGGGCGGTTCAGGTTAGGGTTCAAACGGTATGATGTTTTAAACTATGCCTCAGCCCCAGACCATCCTGGACCTGTAAGCCTAATGCAGGCGTTAGCGTCGGATGGGGCGGCCGCTGCAGCAACCTGCTCTGGGACCCAGTGCTAGGGTTCAAGGCCTTTGTGGTTTTTCAGGCTGTTTTCTGGGCAGTGGGGCAGTCTGCATTTGAACGTGCTTTGCACAAAGATTCAAACGCGGCGTTGGAATAAGCAGAGTTTTTTGCGTTGCTATCTAAAATACCGAATTCCAGAAGCCGCAAGACCAACCAACTAGAACAGCTTGAGGGGCCATGATTGTTGCCTTTGCGGCTTTGAGCTGAGGAGTTCGTCTGCAAGTTCTAGTGGGTTCATTTACGGAAGCAACAGTGACTGCACACTTGCAATACCACAAGACAAACGAGAATTGTACCAGAACTTACTGGTTCCTCGCAGGGAATAAGGTAATGGGATAAGGTAATCTACGATGAAGATATGAAGGGTCCCTGATACCCTTCTGAGAACCAGTCAGAGAAGCAGTAGCTGCGGCCATCACAACCCTCACTGCCAGCAATAGCGAGAGCAGTCGCAGAAGAAGTCCTGGCCTTGCTAGTGCTACTGGAAGGGATAGTAGTAGTAGTCAGGGAGCAGGCCCATACTGCGCACACCCCCATTGCGGGAACGGGTACACAGTCTTGGCCTTGACCTTGTTGTTGT